TCCAAGGTGACCTCTCCACAGATGGAAGTGATGTTTAAAGTTTTAAGCGGCAGGCGTCGAGCTGCAGGGACAGAACTGCAGGGACATGTGGTATGACGGATAGCTTCAGGGAAGAGCTCGCTGGACGGAAACTCTATTCTGGTTTGAAACGATCCCTCACGGCCGGGTATCGGCCGTCGAAGTGTTTTGTCGCAACGTGACGATGCTGGATGTGCAACAGATCACAAGTGCGAATTGATGAGGTCCGCTCGATGTTGGCGGCTTAACAATTGCCAGGGTAGGAAGGAGACACACCAGGAGATTGCTTCACGGTGGTGCTCTGAGGTGACTTTCGAGACCTACGCGGACTTGGGGAGCTGAACGACCACATGCCGGGGTTGATTACAGTTCGGTGCCGAGGCTTGATTCCATCTGTGTTAGTAGAACCACAGAATCCCCAAACTCGGTACGCTTAAACCTCAGCTCCTACGACTCCCGGCCGACACCCGGGAAGTACACTGCTCAGCCCAAAGCTCATGCTCATCCGAATTGGGTTTGCTGGTGACGACTTTCGTCACTGATGGATTAGTCCGCGAGGCCACCCACCAGCAAATCTGCCGAACATGTGGCACCGATTAGGTTCACGTCGTTGGGCGCCGTATCCTACTGGACCTGAGAGGCCGGTACCTCGATCTTTCTGTGGTCCCCCTTTCATGTGAGACGTGGTAGGAACTCTAGCGCGAACTCTATGTGGAGGGAAGAGTTTGGAACTCTGGGCTGCTCGAGTTCACTGCGTCTTGGATTGGTCTGGTGTCTTCGTGGCTGGAGTTGTGACTGGTCTCGCCCTGGCGTAGCTTTTTAGTCAGATGACCTTGACTCGATGTGGTGATGTTTTCCTGGAGGGGGAGGGGAGGAAAATGCGACGGGACGCGGAACGGGAACATCCCCGGCGGCCCCTTGGCGCCCCTGAGAGTGGACTGTAATGTTTGAAGAGAAGTCGCCTATCGTCGATCATCCGCCCATTCGGCCCAGCGGTGCACTGTGTTCTCCTGGCGAGCGGGGAACGACTGTGGCACGGCGGGACCAGATCGCAGCAAACCCTCGCCACGGCCTCGGTACAGGGTCTGAAGTTGTTGCAAGGAAGGGAGGGGAGGCCTGGGTGTGTGAGACATTGGCGACCACGACTAGCAAGTGCGACCTATTGTGCTGCAATGGACGTCGAGCCGAGTCAGCGAGCGGGGCCGGTCAGACCTTTTAGTCTGTCACCATCACGACGCCTCGCCTACCTTCAGATGATCGCCATACCTGAAAGGGCTTCAGCGTGCGCCGCCAGCACCCATCGAGTCCTCCGTGGGAGATGGCTCCTAGTCTGCACACCCATGACCCTGGCTTCGACAGGTTCTTTCATTGGGCTGGTCTGCTCTCCCAGGCTCTTGGCCGAGAGCACCTCACGCAATACACTTCCCGTCTTTTCCATTGGGGTGCCACTCCCGGCGGCCGCTTTGACACGACGCTAGGTCTTGTTCGCGAAAGCTGCACCTTACCCGACCGCGCCATGTGGCTCGCCTCCGAAGCTGTGGAGACCAGGTACGGTTCGTCGCGACAACTTTGGATCCTGCGACGCTAAAGTTGTTGGAGGACTAATGTTTAGTGTGGTTCACCCAGAGTCTCGCCGCGCACCATCAGGGACCTTGTTACTAGACGGAGAGGCCAGGGCGCTCGTGGCGAGACGGATCTCTGGTCATAAGGAACCTCACTCCCCGAGAGCATGTCCGTCTCAGACCTCTTGCACGTTTTCTGATTTCTGCCGACTGCTTTCCGTTTCCATTTCGACTTGCGCGACGATGCGTCGGTTCAACATAGCCTGGCTGCCAGTGTGGCTCGCCATATCCAATACGATGGCGATGGCCGTCGAAGTGCCAGAAACTGTACCGGGATTGCTCGCCATTATCCCACAATGTGCGGTAGGTGACGACCACTATTACGGAGGAAGTCCCCGAGTCGGAAGATGGCTGACAAGTGCACGGTAGATGTCCTGCGTGATGGACACAATACAAGCAGGAAACTGCAGCATCGCCTCGATCAAGTCGCTGGAAGAGTGTGTGTGCCCGAGCATTGCTCTGCAGTCGGCGCTATCGGACTGCGTGCAACTGAGTTGCCATTTTGAGGACCAAGTCAAGGCTGTCGGCGTCGAGGCTGCTGTTTGCGCCGCCTATCCCAAGCCGTCGAGGTCCAAAGAGGTCAAGACGATCGCCATGGTGTTCACGATTGTCACGTTTCCCATCGTTGGGCTTCGCTTCCTTTCCCGATGGACGGCGACCTCGAGCTTCTGGTGGGATGACTGGACCGTCTTGGCTGCCATTGTTAGTGTTCTTCGCGGCTTTCGAGATGAGCCACGAGCTATTGCTGACTGTTTAGGTCTTCTTGGCCGGCCTCGCGGGCATCGAGATCGCCAGTGCCGAGCTGGGCTTCGGCATGCACTACTGGCACGTCGCGCCCGAGAATGGAACGATTCTCTTGCAGCTCTTCTACGCGGTGCAGATGTTGTACATCCTGATCCAGGTGTTCGCCAAGATGTCGATTCTCCTCTTCTTCTCTCGCATCTTTCAGGTGCGGTGGTTCCTGGTGACGGTGCGCGCCTTCATCGCCTTTCTCATATTGCATGGGCTGTTGTTCGTGCTGCTCGTGGCGTTCCAGTGCATGCCCGTGTCTTCGGTATGGGACCGGAGCAACGACAACCGCACATGCATCAACATGACGGCAGTCGGTTACGCCGGCGCAGCCTTCAGCATCATCGAGGACCTCGTCATCATGGCGCTGCCCATACCCGAGTTGTTGAAGCTGCAATTGACGAAGAAGAAGAAGATTGCGCTGGCCATTATCTTTTCCCTGGGCTCTTTGTAAGTTGTGGAGCTTGTCGTTTGGTCCTGTCCAAGATGCTAACGCGAGACAGCGCCTGCGTCACCAGCATGATTCGACTCAAGTACCTCGTCATGTTCATGGGCACATTGGACACGACGTGGGACAACGTGGACATTGTCATCTGGTCGATCATTGAGAGCTTCTGCTGCATCTTGTGCGCGAGCCTTCTGGCGCTACCACCGCTGGTGCTCAAGTTGAGCAAGTTTGTCCGGCACCACTGGTCGCAGATGTCGACCCGAGCCTCCTCGACCAACAACAACAAGTCGCGCAGTCGACGCTGGAGCATCCCGGGTTCAAAAGGCTTCGA